TTTTTTTAACTCATTTAGTGGTTTAATATATTTTAATTTGTTTCAGAATCAAAGGCTACGGAATTCACCGATGTTCACGACCCAGCAACAAATGAACTTTTATGTCGTACCCCGAAATGCACGAAAGAGGAAATGGAGACAGCCGTGAAAAGTGCAAAAGAAGCTTATGCAAAATGGAAAAATACGAGTGTACTCACCAGACAAACACTGATGCTCAAATATCAAGCCCTTATTCGCGAACACTCGGTAAGCTTGCCGTAAAACTTCAACTTTATCCTAGAAAGAAACTTTCTTTTTAAAAATTATTTCATAATTAAATTTTCTATAAAACTCAACATTCTCTAACGAGAATCAACGCGCAAAATACTTGTATAATAAATTATTTTGTTTAGAAAGAAATCGCAGAGAACATGGTAAAGGAGAATGGGAAGACAATGGCCGATGCCGAAGGTGACGTTCTCCGAGGATTGCGTAAGTTTATTAAAAAAAAATACATATATAACTCAATTATATTTATTACCGTAACCTCTCATACTTTCAGATCTCGATAAATGCCCTACACACAGACAAACGCGCGATCCATCCCGATGACGATCCTCGTTCGTCCCCCTTCGAATTGCAGCCATGTAGGAACCATAGATCACGCGCAATTGATTTATGTTGCAGAGGTGGTGGACGCGTGTGCCGCGATTCCTTCTCTTCAAATGGGGGAGAGCACGCCAAATATCGCCACAGATATGGACATAATTTCCTACAAGCTTCCCCTTGGCGTAACTGCCTCCATCTGTCCCTTCAATTTCCCGGCGATGATACCCCTTTGGTCGTTTCCGGTCTCGGTCGCCTGTGGAAACGCCGCCATTCTCAAACCATCGGAACGCGTGCCAGGCGCTTCGATGATCCTCGCCGATCTGTTCACCAGGGCAGGCGCGTCACCAGGATTGTTGAACGTTGTACACGGCCAACACGAGGCTGTCGATTTTATCTGCGAGCATCCGGACATCAAAGCGGTCTCTTTCGTCGGTTCCGATCAAGCGGTGCGTTCACAATCCTTCTCTTCCTTCTCTTTTCTTTCTTCAGAGTTACGGAGAGATTATTGATTAATTGATCTGCTCGACGGTTGATGGTAAAGTTAGAAGTCGATGGCGAAACGTGCTAGAGATTTCCAGCGAGTAGAATATTGATGTTCCTGAATCTCATGGGGTCTTAACTGGTGCTTACTGCTCTGATAAGAGATGCTCCCTCTATTACTGAAACGGTTCATGAGAAAATTAAGCAGAATTTCTGACGTCGTTTCGGGTTCCAACTCGTGTATCGACTCTTCGGGGAATCGTTTCGTAATTTGTCTTCAGTTTCCAGACATATATCGATGCGAAAAGTATTTTATTTTTTTAATATTGGGAGTCTTCGTTAAAATTTTAATCGTTATATTTTATATTTTTGTAAATTTGCAACGAAGAGGAGGAGAATACAAATTTCTGAACCGAATCGAATAAAACAAATTTTAATTTTGAGTAACTTTTTTCTTTCTTTTTACAGGGTAAATACATTTACAAACAGAGCAGCGCTCATGGAAAACGAGTGCAGTGCAACATGGGCGCGAAGAACCATTGCATCGTTCTACCGGATGCGAATAAAAATAAGACCATTTCCCAAATCGTGGGTGCCGCGTTTGGAGCGGCTGGGCAAAGATGCATGGCACTCTCGGTGGCCATATTCGTGGGTAAGTCGAAAGAGTGGATCCCAGAATTGGTTCGAGCATCGAAGAAATTGAAAGTGAACGCCGGACACATACCTGGGACCGATCTTGGACCAGTTATATCGCCTCGATCCAAGAAGAGGATATGCGATCTCGTCGAGTCGGGAGTGAAAGATGGCGCTACGTTAGCTCTCGATGGCAGAGGGCTCGTTGTCCATGGTTTCGAAAAGGGGAATTTCGTTGGACCGACCGTGTTGACTCACGTGAAGGTATTTATAGCGTGGTGTATATATATTTATAACGAAAAACGCATGTGATCGAGGTACAATAGGTTTAATATCGAGTTGAATAGAAGGTTATTTTGCAATATGTTTCAGCCTAGCATGAAATGTTACACCGAGGAGATCTTTGGACCCGTTCTTTCGTGCATTTTCACCGACACTTTGGACGAAGCGATCGATATTATTAACAACAGCCCTTACGGAAACGGGACTGCTGTATTCACATCAAACGGTGCAACAGCGAGAGCGTTTGTAAATAGGATCGAAGCTGGTCAAGTTGGCGTAAATGTTCCTATCCCAGTACCTTTGCCAATGTTCAGTTTCACTGGAAATAAGGGTTCATTTCTGGGTGATAATCATTTTTATGGGAAACACGTGAGTGAAATTATATAAAAATTCGCACGATTATCAACGATTAAAAAAATTTGAAGTCCCTTTTCTCATCCTCGATAGATTCTTTGTATTAATAAAAATTTATGTCATCAGTTTTTAAATCTTGATATTCATAACATAACATTTAACATTTTGTACAAATATTGTGAAAATATTTTCTAAACGTGTTACTTTTTCAGGGTATAAATTTTTACACACAAGTGAAAACGATAACTCAACTGTGGAGATCTGGAGATGCCGGTGATATCGCTTCCTCGACAGCTATGCCGACTATGCAATAAGATGCATAATATTCGTTAATTCGATGATATTCGCATCTTAAAAAATCTTGCTGTATATTTTTTACCGATTTTTGCGATTAATGATGAATAGAATAAAAGTTATTCGTTTTCCTTAAACAGGAAAATAAGCGATATTCTAAAATTATGTTACGTACATCGATGTCTTCCATTATTTCGATAAGTAAATAAAATACATATATTATATTTACTATATTTATATTTTGTATCAAAATAATAAAATATTTTTAGCAAAATTTTATTTTTATCTTTTAGAATGCATACCATATCGCTCAATCATTGTTTAATTATTCATGAATTTATACAGAGAAAACTCAATCGAAGTATATTTCTCTCGATTGTTTTTATATTGTAAAAATTGAATAATATCCTTGTTTATATAAAATAAAACGCAAATTACATCTTTAAGCTATATTACACGCAATATTCCATGATAACTCAAAAACTTCAAATTCTCAATCTTTCCAACGACAAAGCGATTTCTTTAATTTTCATATCAAATTACTTCTCTCTCTCTCTCACTCTCTCTTTCTTTCTCTCTTTCTCTTTTAAATATAAATATAATAATAAACGCGTTGTATAAGAAATTGATATCGACGAAAGGAGATCGGAAGATGGAAGATAAACGGACTGAGTGAGCGGATATACGTAATAAGAAGATAGCCGCAAGAGAAGTTCAAGGTCGACAACGTCCTGCAACGTCCTTGAACCCAACTCGCTCTCTCGCATCCCCATCGTGGAAAACATTGAAACGGTGACGGATTTCCGGAAAGCGAGCGGAACGCGCGCGCAGCCGCACTGCCACCCCTTGGCCAGGCGCATCTGCGCATTTTCCAACAAAATTTCTCTCACAGGCGAGGTTCTGCCTGTCCCGGATTGTCGTGTTCGTTCCGACGGAGCAGGCTGCCGGAAGTGGGATACGAAGAATACCAACCAACTTTCGGTTGTTCACATATCGTGAGTACCTCGCAACATCCTCGCTCGTTCTACTTTGTCGTCCTTCCCCGCCATATTTCGCATCGATCCTTTTCCACGTTTTCTACCACGCATTTCTCGTATCTCGCCATTTGTTTGTAAAGGAGTAGTACGCCTCGCAAGCGTATCGTGGTCGTTTCATTTGTTTTCATCGACTTTCGTGTCCTCTTCTGGACACTCTTCTGGATATCTTCCGTTTCTGTCTCGAAATCAACTTTCAAATTTTGTTTCTTGGATCTTGGATGGATTTTTTTTTTTTATTATTATTGTCTCGAAGGTTTCTTTGGTTTTTTTTTTCTTTCTTTTTTAATATCTTTTCGGTAGCGTCACCTATTAGAGACCGGTGTTAACCTTCGAGGGTACATTCGAGCGACCGGCGTCGACTAGGCTCGGTGATTTAATATTTGTCGAAGAAAAATCGGGAATCGATTCCCCACGGCGGAAGACGTCGGCCTCTGTTGTCCTTTCTTTTCTCCGACCACGCTCGATAATCCTTTGGGAATTTGGAAAAATATGGGTCGACGTTGTTGCTGATTTACGGCCAGTAGAGGAGTAAAATTCGAAGACATTCTTGTATGTCGAATTTATATGAATCTTGTAAACGTTATTATACGAACGTTCTTATATTTCGTTATTTTATTTTATATTTTATTATATTATTCGTTACTCGACGAAAGTGAAAATGAAAGGAATATTATTTGATAATAATAAGTATTAGGAAAGTAAAATTTAAAAATATTTTTTTTTCGTATGAACAGATATATGTATTATGTTTTGACGTATCGAGTTTGGTTAATTAATTATTCGTGCGTTCGTAAATTTCACGTGTTAATTTCTGTCCCATTCCATTCGAACGAAACATGTACATGCGTTTGTACCAAACGAGATTATAGTTATTAAGATAGGGATCTACTATTGCAAGTTTACGAGACAACTGTTTCGTTAAAATACACGCAAACACGTTATCCTATAACTAATTATTAGTATCTCTACGTATATAATCCAATCTAAAAGATACATACGTGATTTAAAATTCAAATTGCCACGAAACATAATTATATATATTTTTATAATGAGGCTGACGATCGAATTCGTACTTTTGTGAATTTTAAATTTTAAATTTCCTCTAGAAATAAATTATAATTTTTCTTCTTACAAGAAAACGAATTGGAACTGAAACGTAATACGAATTTATATTATTCACTCTTTAAGTTGGATTGAAAAATTTGTCAAAGTATATTGCAGTTAATTCTTTATGATTGCTATAAAATGTAAATGTTACGTTTTATATTTTTACGACCAACCATAGTAGCAATAATAAATTATAACCTCTCGTTAGGGAATAAATACAGAGTTGAAATGTATTTTTACTTAGAAAATTTATTGCCCTATCTTAACTTTATGATTGGATTTAAAAAAAATTGTAAATTGAACGATATTGCTATATTTTTTTCTCCTTCCTTGTAGTGTGAGGTTTAAAATTCGCGGAAGTATACCTTCGCAGCCGCATTAACTTTTTATTTTCGTATAAGCGCGTTTTATTTAACCTCGTATTTTTATTACGTTTCATCTCGTGCATACTTTAAAATAAACCATAACTTTTTTTTTAAGATTAAAGTTAAAAAGGGATTGTTTCAAGTTATAAAAAATTTTAATAATTCGACTATTATATATTAGAGCTCGTAGTCACGCATTTTATGTTAATACATTGAAATTAGATTTTCCTTTATCGCATTAGGAAAATTCTTTATGTATTCCATTATTTTTGCTTCTAAAAGCGATAATGCAAGAAAAAAAAAAAAGATTATTTTATCGATAAAGTATATTTTGTTAATTTAAAAAATCTTTTTATTTTTCTAGAAAGAAGAAATTTGTAATCTAATTTATGTAAATTGTCATAGTTTCTAATATCTTTTTTGAATATGTATTATTTCTGGAATATCTTTAGTTATTTGACGCGGATTACTTTCGATTAAGATCTTTATTTAACTTTATTTAACTATCAAAGATGGATATGGTAGAATATAGGTCATCTTTGACAGAGAAATTTTCATCAGAAATTGCAAATCAAAATTAAAATTAGCAATTGCTAACATCGTTATATCGTTTCTAATTTTATTAAAAATGATGTAATTTTAGAGTTGGATAAAACACATGGAAATCGATCTAATATGGAAATGAAGAGAATTTAAACTTTTGTTTATTATAAAGCGATAAGAAAATGGTAATTGAAACATGAAATTATTCATTATTGTGAATTCACAATGAAATAAATATTATAAAAAAATATTGAAAAAATTTTTCTTCATATATAATAAAAAGTAATAATTTTTTTTAAGAAAATTTGTGCAAACTTTGCATTTTTAATAAAATTTTCTCTAAATATAGAGAAAATACGCGAGATACACACTTCTTTCAATTTCTATAAATTTTTCAACGAAATTTCCAGTGAAATATTTAATCAAAGAATCTTCTATAAAACTTTTCTAAAAAACCAGTATACTTTTACCTCTTATCTTATTTTTTCTACTGCGAACGTTTAATTTCGATTAATGGATATTTATATAATTTCCATGGAAATAGAAAAAGCAGAGAAAGGATCGTGAAAAGCGCGAATGCAGAATAAAAAAAAAAAAAAAGAAAAAGGGATCTCTGCCTTTTGCTTGAAAAACGTATGGAAAATTGCCAAGCATATACGAGTTCAGTTTCAGTAGGACGCGTTTATCTTTTACACGCGTCAAATTTCATTTTCGCATTGTCGCCTAAATGAAACTCTGTTTTCTTCTGTCCTAGCTTGGTGTTTCTGTTGCCATCCATGTCGTTTAAGAAAACAGTTCTGATTGAGAGCTGTTTCATCGGACGGTAAATTCTACAGTGTACACTTTCAACAGGTCGCGTAACGTGTTCACTTTGTCTTTACACAAGGAAGCCCACGTTCGTTTCATTAGTATCGAACAAAGTTGGTAAACGGTACATCGCCTCTTTCATCCATTTCCAGATAAATTGAACGATGAAAATAAATAGGGATGTAACTGCCAAGACTAATTCCAAGGGAAAAATAGTTTTCCTCGTTTTATTATATTTCATGTAATTTTAATATTTTTAACTTATTTATTTCAATTTATTTCAAACGCTCTATAAATCATTAAATTCTTCTCATCCTTTCCTTTGCAATATTTATTAACTTTTCAGAATATTTATTAGTTCATCTTCACTATTTTTTATTTGAATCTATTATTGTTTATTTGTATCATATTTTTCATTTCATCCATTTCCAAATAAATGAACGATGAAAATAAATAGGAATGCAACTT